GAAGGAAGAGAGCTGTAGGAATGGATAGTGGATGCAGCTTAAGAATGATCCTCCACAGCCTGACCACAGGCAGGCTTTGCAGTTTAGCTAGAAGTGCGTCCCAGAGAGGGGCAACTCGTCACCTGGCCCAGCTTGACGGAAATAGGGCATGGCCTCCCTGACTTCCCTGTCCCAACCATGTGGTCCCCAAGAGCCTGCTCACGTCTTCGGGTCCCGAGTGCCTCTACATTAGGGGCAGGGGTATGGGCACAGGCTGACCATCACTCTGCCTAGCTCTCTGCTGGGATTGCAGAAAGAACCGTCTGGGAAAGAACATCAGCTTTTTCTTATCAAAGCCACAGACTCCTGCCAAAGTGTTTCACGAAGTCTATACACATTTGGGCAGTAATAGTTTTGGTTTTTTTGTTTTTTTTAAAGAAAGTGTATATTGGGTAAATAAAATATATTACCAAAATTCAAAAAAAAAAGACGTAGAAAAAATTTTATATACTTTTAAGCTTAAAAATAGAGATCACCACAAATACCAGGAAATAAATTTCACCCCTACGTTCTGAGCACTTAAGAGGCATTTTGGGGAACAACAGATTGAAGAGGTTGGAGGGAAAAAGGATGTTGAGGAGAAATTGGGAGAGAAAGCCCCAGAGATCCGCCTTGTGACCCTCCTCGACTGCTATCAACGTGGTTTTGAGTGGTCAGTCCTCTTTATTACTTGGGATCAGAGAGCGAGAGAGAGAGACTGCAAATGGTGTTTGTTTTTGTCTTATTCAGGCTGCCTTAAAATACCACAGACTGGGGGCTTCCGCAAAGGATGTGTTTCCTCACAGCTCTGGAGGCTGGAAGCCCAAGGTCAAGGTGCCAGTGGGTAGATTTCCTTCTGAGGCATCTTCCCGGCTCATAGGCAGCCATCATTACTCCGTGTGCTTGTATGACCTCCTCTTTGTGGGTGCACAGAATAAGCTCTCTGGGTCTCTTCTTGTAAGGACACTAATCCTGTCCTATCAGTGCCCCCCTTATGACCTCATGTAACCATAATTACAGTCTTAGAGGCCCCATATCCAAATACAGCCGCACTGGGGGTTAGGGATTCACCATGACTTTGAGGAGGACACAGTTCTGTTCATGGCAGTGTTAATGCTGGGTGTCCACTGAGGCCCAGGGGATGTGCCTTGGGTTCTTAGCAGTGATGGTTTAGTCAACTTTCTTAATACACCTGATTCTTCTTTTGACATTCGGAGGGTGTCTAGTTGCCTTGTTTTCTTTCTTTGTAAGATTGGGGGAATTTGATGGTGCAGTCTCAAGGATGCTACTTCAAGAGCGTTGGGATATCTCGGTGTTTGCTGAGAGCAAGGTGGAGTTTAGCCACATACAGACAGGAGAAGCTCTGCTCTGAGCCACCTAAAACATCTCACCACACAGAATCCCCAAACAGAAAAGACCGGAACAAATGAACTCATGTATTTCGCAAACTCATCACACCGCATGCCTGGCGCTGTGCTCACTACCTTACCAGTGTTCATTCATTTAAGTCTCTAACAGGTGGACACTGTCTGTATGCCCTCACCAGTAAGGAAGCTGAGGCACGGGGAGGCAGGTCTGAGAATCAGTGAGTGGCGGTGCCCGGACTCCATCCCAGGCAGCTCCCCTCAGGTGCCTTCACTGAACCGCCCTGCTGATATGGGAAGGATGCCCACACCTCACAGAGCTGGTGTGTGCAGAGCTGCTGATCCGAGGCAGATGCTGCTGCATCCAAGGGCAGGTGCGAGGTGAGGAACGGTCAGGCTCAGGAGGTGATGAGAATGTGTACGAGTAAGTAGGCAACCTCTTCCAGTCCCTGGAAAGTTCTTTCCTGTGGCCCAGTGGCAGAGGGACACACTGAGACGCTGCGGAGGGTGCACACTGACACCCAGTTAGAGACGCTACCGACCGCTGCAGGCTGCGGTCTACACATCCATACAGGAAGCCCGTGGGGACCAGGCGGTGCCTCTGTCCATCCTTGGGTGCTGCCATTATGTTTTGCCTTTCCTCTCTTTCTGGGTAGATTTTTCCAGTGGCATCAAAGACGCTTTGGAAGAACTCGCGTACTCTTGGGAATTTGGTATTTTAAATGCCAGCCAATAGCAGATTCACTGGTGGGGTGAAAAGTGGCAGAAAGGCTAGCCCCCCCTCCCCCCACCTCATTTTGCATGGACATGATCCTAAAAAGCAGCATGTAGTGGAAAAGTAGTAAATCGGGTCGTGTTTTAAATGAGCCTGGGGCAGGGTCACACAAAGTGGCCAACCCTGCAGGAAGCATTGCAAGATGAGCTCATGCTTTTGGATCCAGGTCCTCATGTTTGGACTGGTGCATATCCAGCTTCTCAAGTGCAACCCAACTTCAGTCCTCATCAGGATGCCGCGTCCCTCTGGGAGTCACAGATACGGACAGCCTGAAGTAGAGCAAGACAGCTATCAAAACCTGAGCTCCTCTCACCCCCAAACTTCCTTATTTCCCTGTGGGAACCCCTCTGTCCTGGCTTGGGTTCTTGCCACTGGGAAAGGATGGTGTCCGATTTGCTTGTCTAAGTTGAATTGGTAATAGACTTTGTGTTCTTCATACCATTTAAGCACGTATGATGGCTGGGCAGGGCATCTGGTGTTGGGTTTTGTGAGATCATGCTCTTATATTAGTGTTTTATTTTGTTTCTGTTTTTTTTTTTCTTTTTTGCCTTCTCCTCCCCCGAATTTAATAGTAAATTTGAGGAGATAGCTCCCCAGCACATAAAATTTTCTGCTTGGGAACTTTTCCTTCTTCTCCCCCCCAAACATTTTGTTGAGAAACTGCTTCCATTTCCAACTGTTGAGAATGTCACTGGAAGAAACTCATCCTGCATTAAATGAACTATCGAAAACCAGAATGGATCAGGCGATTTGGGGGGAAATCCACCAGACACACAAGGCAGAGATTTGGGCGGCCCATTATGTATTCGGCCAGAAAATGGGTACAGCACTGTGCTAGCATATTCAATCAGTACTGGCTTCGATGATAGCAGGATGGGTTTATTCTCGGTGATGGAGAAAAATGCACCCTGCTCCAGAGCTGACTGCTCCTTTTCAGAGCATCTAATTCAGTGTTCAAACATGTTACTGATTAGTGGATTCAAAGAACAGAAAGTAACATTAGTAGCTCTTGTGTTCTTTGTGGTTTACATTCTAAGACTGACTCAAATTTTGACAGTTTATCTGTGGGAAAGGAGCGAGCATCAGATGGACCAGGGTCCCAAGCTCGCTCTGCCTTTTCCTGGACACCTCGCCTCTCAGACTGGGTGACGAGGAAGGGGAGCACGTGAGTAGCATCATGGATACACAGGGAGAAGTAACAAATAATAGGACCTCATTTTAGCATCATTGGAAGTCTGTTTTCTGTACTGAGGCTTCTCAGTGGAATGTCATCATGCCGTGGAGTCTTCTTGTTGCGTTGCATTAAGCTTGTGGTTGGAATAAAGATGATTTTTGCCCCGGAGCTGAAGGAATCGGAGTTTACAGTATTTACTGTGTTATTAGCCAGTGTGGCCGTGTCTGCTGGGGCACTTGTGAGCATGCGCACTGCCTCGGCCCCACAAATGCCCCGTCAGAGTCCAGGGACCCAGGAGAAATGCCGAGTTGTTTTGTATCAATCCAAGGGGCGCCTGGGTGGCTCAATCGGTTAAGCATCTGCCTTCGGCTCAGGTCATGATCTCAGGGTCCTGGGATCAAGTCCCACATCAGGCTCCCTGCTTAGCGGGAAGCCTGCTTCTCCCTCCCACTTGTGCTCTCTCTCACTCTCTCTTGCTGTCTCTCTCTCTCTCTCAAATAAATAAAATCTTGTATCAATTTGAGCATTACTGATTAATTTTCAGTTGTAGCAGTTGAATAAGAAGCAGGGCACTTTGGGGACTCACTCTTGCTTGGGGCTTTGCTTGTGGTTCTCCTGTCTGGATCCAGGGTCCCCAGCAGCCCGCAGCCCTCGGGGTGAGTGACAGGTGCCCGGGCTGCATCAGGACAACCCGGGCACCTGTGTGTTCACAGAAGCACTGCGAGTCTGTGATCTGCACCCCCGGACCCCAGACACCTGGAAAGCATAATTATGACCAGAAATAATTGCCATGTCAGTTACTGATTAGGAAATAGGTCACAGGAAAGACCTATGCTTTCATGAGAGGCATATGCTCTATTGCTTGGGGAATTTAGGGAAAGAGAGATCAGCTTTAAATATAAAAACATTCTGCCAGGCAGATATAAAAGAGGCAAAGGAAATTCTTTGGAGTAATCTGAATTGTTAACTCTCCTCCCTTGGTAAATAATTCCCTGTGGTGGGGGACATGATGACAGTTTTTGACATTCAAACAAGGTCATTTTCTTAGGGTTTTTTTTTTTTTTTTTTCTTTTGTCTTTAAAAAGGCATAAATTTTTTTAGCTGTCATCTTCAACTTAAAATGTTCAGTTTGGGAGCAGCTGGGTGGCTTAGTTGGTTGAGTGACCAACTCTTGGTTTCAGCTCGGGTCATGATCTCAGGGTCATGAGATCAAGCCCCAAATTGGGCTCTGCGCTTAACGTGGAGTCTCCTTGGGACTCCCTCTCCCTCTACCCCTCTCTCCTGCGCTTGCTCTCTCTCTCTCTCTCAAATAAATAAAATCTTTTAAAATTTATCAGTTTTTAAGAGACATTTATGAATCACTGAAAATTTAGTCTTTATTAGTATCACTTGTAATTAACCTTGTAGGATTCAAGTCAACATATCCATGGACTTAATACAAATATAACTCTTTTCCCGGCTCTGGTGGTTGCTCTTTCAGGCATGTTGTTTACTAGTGTTGGAAATGTTAGGAAACGCTGTCCAGTCATGAGCCAGGAATTCATGACCACATACACGTGACCAATTTGCTCATTCACCTACTGGTGCGTGGGTTTGACCCTTACTCAGCTTGACTGAAGGGAGAGCACAAAAACATTCCTAATTAATGTGATCTGTTTCCCTTTTTCAGCCATGCAATGATGGACCTACTGGTTGAACTTTGTCTTCAGAACCACCTAAATCCATCCCACCATGCCCTCGAGATCCGGTCTTCGGAAACCGAGCAGCCTTTGAGTTTTAAGCCAAATACTTTAGTTGGGACCCTGAATGTGCACACTGTATTTCTCAAAGAGAAAGTTCCCGAAGAGAAGGTGAAGCCTGCCCCACCCAAGGCACCTGAGGTCAGTAGGACCAGGGCCGGGGTGGGTCGGAGTGGGGGGTGGGCTTTGTTATCTGAGGGCGTATGCAGAGCCCTGTGGCCGAGGTGCGGAGGAAGGGGGCTGGTGGAGCCCCTCTTCTCTGAGCAACACGTGCAGACAGCTATTAAAATTTCTACTTCCCTGCTAGGCAAAGTTAGGCCCTAAACTGAGCTGCTTTTAGAAGATGGAAATTAACCAACTTTAATAATATTCATGGTTGTATCTTTGCTCCTTTGGCTATTATAGAAGAGGAATCAGTCTAGAGCAGAGCTAGCCGTTAGAACTTTCTGCACAGATGGAAACGGTCTATCGTTCTGCACTCCCCAAGGCGGTCACCCCTGGCCACATGAGACTTAATGTTAAGCAGCTGCACTAGCGTGAGAAACTGAGCCTTTAATTGTATTTAGGGTTAATTAACTTAACTTTACATAACCGCAAGTTACTAGCCGATACCTTGTTGAACTAGTTATAGAGATTCTCCTTCCGTTCTGGAGGTCCTCCTGTCCAAGGAAGCCATGGGGAAATGGGGGAGAGGAAAAACAGGAGTTTTCCCTTTTGAGAAACTGATGTCGGAAATGTTTACTCGTTGCGCTTGGAGCATATCTTATACATAGATGTATTTCAGGCTTTTGATTACTGATTAAAGTGGACTCCAGCTGCTTATGGTACGTCTTCATAAACCTTTGCTGCGGATCTTTTAGCCCCATTTAAAAGCTTTTAGATTCTTGGGAATATTTACTAGATTTTTCTGCTTCTAAAAATGGCGATTTGGCCAACAGTTCATCTTCTATCAATTTTTAGGTTTGGGGGGCTTAATAAATTTTATTTGGTGTCATCTCTACTCTGGAAAGGGGCATGGATCCACCTCAGTCAGATTTTATTCAACCCGCATTTGCTGTGGCCCCCTCTCCAGCATTCTCAGACAATGTTGTGCCAGTAAAGGCCAGGAAAACGTTGACTGCATGAAACTGGCATATTGCTTTTTTTTTTTTTTGGATGGCCAGTTTATCAGTAGACATTTAGAATCAGGTTTAGTCACACTGCTTATTTTGTTTTCTGATTATGATCTCCATCATCATGTGTCCATTATATGTATATGTTTGTTGTATGTCAGTTATATTTCTGTAGCTTAAATACAGGTGTGTAGTGTATATATGTATAAAATATGCATATACACAGACATATACACACGCTATATATATTTACATAGATAGTAATATATTTATGTGGGTCTTTTAGCTATTTAACTGAAACTTTGATACCTTGGGTTTTTTAGGGTTTTTCTTTAAATTGAATTGTTCATGCCACTTTCAAACTCTTTTCCTTCACCACATTTGTGTAAGTGCTTTGTGTCAGGTCTGTTTGGGATCCTTGAAAGGCAGCGTAGGTGTTAGATGATAAATCCAGACCCCTGACGATGTCCATTCTCCTGTGTTGTTAGCAGTCTGTTCCTTAGTGAGGGATTGTAAGGGAAGTTAATTATTCCAGGTGTTTATCGTTCACTTTTCAGTATGGCAATTTCCCCCCATGACCCCCTGAGTTTTGGACAAAGGGCTCGGGCTGCACAAAGTCTTGCCGTAGTCAGTTCCTGCACACAAGCAGCAGGTGAAGCCCACACTTACAGAATTCTTTCATCGGGGGTGTTCTTCCAGAAATCTGTGCGCTTGGTAGTGAATTACCTGCGAACCCAGAAGGCCGTCGTGCGTGTGAGCCCCGAGGTGCCACTCCAGAACATTCTCCCAGTCATCTGTGCAAAGTGTGAAGTCAGCCCAGAGCACGTGGTGCTCCTCAGGGACAACATTGCCGGGGAGGAGGTGGAACTTTCCAAGTCCCTCAACGAGCTGGGGATAAAGGAGCTCTACGCGTGGGACAACAAACGAGGTGAGGCCACCTTGCGTCTTTGACACCTGCCCTGTAAGAGCACAGGCAGGAAGCAGATGTCCACCGCCTATGAGCGCTCGAGGTTCCCGGTAGAGACAGGTACCCGAATTTTCAGGCAACCCAAAGCACAGTTGAAGTGGGCAGAAAATAAATTTGGTTTGTTCCCATTGCTGTAATTGTGCCTCTTTCCCCCCCAATCCTGAGCATGTCCTGAGCGTCACCCTACCTCCTGTGAGCTTCGGCGAGGTAAGTAAAGAAGTAGCTCTCTAACACGTGAACCATCTTCTCTTGGATTTCATATTCAGTTGCTGGTAACTGCCCCCAAGTCTCAAACATTGCTCATCGTCAAAACCAGTGGCAAAGGGGCGGCTGGGTGGCTCAGTCAGTTAAGCGTCTGCCTTCAGCTCAGGTAGTGATCTTGGGGTCCTGGGATCGAGTCCCACGTCGGGCTCCCTGCTCGACGGGGAGTCTGCTTCTCCCTCTGCTCCTCCCCCTGCTCATGCTCTCTCTCTCTCTCAAATAAAGAAATAAAATCTTTATTAAAAAAAAAAGCAACACACACACACAAACAGTGGCAAAATACATTTAGCTCTTTTTCTAAAACTGCCTGCATTAGAGTTCATGAAATCAGTCCCTGAACACAGCTCACGATGCTGCCTTGGTCTTCCTCACCATCGATGCCAGAGACAACTTACTCCTCGTGTGAATTTGGTACTTGACCTGAGGGCTCAGAGCCGGTGGGGAGAGTGGCTGCTCAAGAGGTCGGTGTTGGCATGGAGACCAATGTGTGTGGGAACAGAGTTCCCCGATGGACACAAAGGGCGGACTGTTTGGAAAGAGCTATCAGACCAAAATAAATAAATGAATGACTGAATGAAAAAAATAAATGAGTATTCCTTGACCTTAGCATTATTAAAATGAACTTCATAAAAGTGCCTTATTTTCATGAGGCTCGTTTGATATCTGTGGCCTTTCATTTATTCCACAAATACTGAGTAAGTTGGGTTGTTGAAATACGTTCCATTTTTTCATGTTTTTCTACTGTTTGTTTCAAATTCTTCCAAGAAAATCTGCTTTTCTTATTACCAGGTTTTTTTAAAAAGATTTTATTTATTTATTTCAGAGAGGGAGAGTGTGTGAGCATGAGCAGGGCGAGGGGGACAGCAGAGGGAGAGGGAGAAGCAGGCTCCCTACTGAGCACGCAGACACTTAACCGACTGAGCCATCCAGGTGCCCCTCTTATTACCAGTTTTATTGCAAAATCAGTGATCATAGTGGAACCTCCTCTCCTCCCCCCAATCTTGGAAGGGTCTGGACCCCTGGTCTCATTTGACATTCAAGAAAGGGTTTTAGCTCAATCGCGTGTAAGATGCACAGACTATCTAGTCCTTCAAAAGAAGTGCTCTGACATTTGAGAGCAATGCGTCTTGTGCTTTATGCAGCATCTTTTTAAAACTCAGACAAGATTATTCCCAGCATCTGCTACACGGGCGGGTATGTCTGTCTGGTTCTATCAGCCCTATATAAATTTGGTTTCTGTGCCTCTGTGGAAACACAGCCTTCATTTGGCGAAAGAAGAAAGAAAGAGAGAGAGAGAGAGGAAGGAAGGAAGGAAGGAAGGAAGGAAGGAAGGAAGGAAGGAAGGAAGGAAGGGAAGAAAAAGAAAAAGAAAGAAAAAAGAGAGGGAGGGAGGAAGGAAGGAACAAAGGAAGGAAGGAAGAAAGACTGTCCTACTCAAGTATGTGAAAGAAAAAAGGCTTACACAAACAACCCTTTCAATTCTTGGATATATCTTGAAAAGTAGATGTGGAACATTTTATCTGGGAAGAGTCCTATAAAACTTGCCGCCCCATGCAGGAGTGGATCCCAACAAGCTCACGATCGTCCAGAGCACAGAGCTGAGGAGACCTCCATAGGTCTAGGGCTCCCTCTTTCCATCCCCAGGCAGGGCAGGACACAGGTGCAGCCAGCCTGGCTGTCAGATTTGGAAGCACCCGAGCACTGAGTGCCCTTCACTGCCTTGGGCGTCCTCCGAGGGACCCTTCCCTCTGGGGAAAGGGGACCCTTCCCAGCATCCTCCCTGGAAAATAAAGGTGCAACAGCCAGCAGGGCGGGTGACCGGCTCCAGCCCAGTGGCCAACATCCCTTTCCTCCGGGCCATACTGGGCCATGTGCCACGCCGGCTGTGAAGCCTTTGACTATCATCCCTGCCAAATGCCCTTATCCCTACGGGCAGTCAAGTATTTGAGAAGAAAGGAGAACATTCCGGAAGACGCCTGTAGGGAGCCCTCTCCTTTTGGCCCCTCTTGCATTACAGCCCCTCCCCAGCAAGCAGCTGTTCCAAGGGACGAGGGCCATGGCCGGGGGAGATGTGTCGCTAGGCAGAGACCCGGCTCCTCTGGAATGCCTGGTGGTGGCAGCTTGAAACAGAAGGCTTTGCTGCCACCTCCTTCCACAGGACAGCTTAGCAGCCAGGCAGCTACGGGCTCTAGGAGATCCAGGGCCAGGAATGGAGCCTGCTCGGCCCTTGGCCTCTCCTGCAGGGGCCCAGACAACCCCCTTCTGAGGCTCACAGAGGGGCCGCTGCAGCTTGGGAGCTTGACCTCACTCTCTCATTGCCTGCTTCTTCCAGTTCTTCTGACCAAAACTCAGTCGGAGCCTTCCCTGAGCTGTCAAGGTACAGTGAGCCGGTTCCGGCCCGGCTGGGCTTTGCATGGCTCTGGACCAGGACGATGCATGGAAGTGGCGTTTGCGTGCAGGGCCTGAAGGAATGCAGGCATGCCTTGCAGCCCTTCTAGGGACATCTCGTCCGCTGACATATGGCTTTGGTTTGGTTTCTTGACTCCCTGGCTGCTTGAGAGAAGAATGTCCCTCGTGTGGGGATTTGCCGTGCGGTTCCAGTTGCTGAGTAAATGAAGGAGGCTGGGGTAGAACATGGGTCCTTTAGGAACATGGAATTTCAGGGCGGAGTGGAAGTGGCACATGCGGAAGACACACCGTTTTCCTTTCTACCTGTGCCCACCTGCCCTCGAGGTCCATTCTGTCTGCTGCAGACTTTGGGGCAGTATAGACTGAAATGTAATCTTTTCTGTCATAGACAAGTGTACGGACGATCAGTCCAGCTTCTGAATTTACTCTGACACTTACTTATCCTACACTTTACATATATACACAGATATATATATATATATATATTTACACATACATGCACACATACGTGTGGATATATATATTCAGACATACCATATATCGGAATTTATGTGAACTTGTTGGACTACACGTGTACACACATCGTCTCCACAAAGTTCATTAATGAGTATTTATCTCATTAATGAGTATAAAGATAGTAACGAAACAGAAGTGGACATCAGTCTGGAACCACAGGCCATGCGTGTTGCGTCTGACCATAGCCCTCGTCGGTTATGGACCCCATCGCACCGTATAGATGGATATTGCAAACAGAAGGGTTCTCTTTTAAGAAGCACCATGAGTGGTAGTTGTTTTGAGCAGGGAAATCATGCATGTGAAGCCTTCTTCAGTTTGGATTGGTTCGATTTGGGGATTGTGGGCAGACGGAGAGCAGCAGAGACAGATGGTCGAGACCCCGTGTGCCCAGGCTCCTGCTGGGGACCTGAACTCAGCAACTTGCCTATGTGAAGGATGTCCATGCAGGCGTGGGTCTCCTCTGGTCGTTACTTGCTCGTGACCATGCTCTGGCCACTGAACGGCTCTGACCTTCCATTTTCTCCTCTGGAAAAGCGAACGGTTTGGATTCGCTGGTATTCGGGACCCCCGCAGCCCCTTTCCTCCCCCTGCACTGTTCAGCTCATCTTTATTGTTCTCCAGATCACATCCATTCTTCAAAGAGCATGTGCTTTTTTAGAGATGGAGCATGTCGTCCCCTACACTTTGATTGCCATTTAACTTCTAGTACACGAGAGAAAGCTGAAAGAAAATCGGGTTCGCGCTCAAATTGCCGTGTGTTTGGAACCACGGGTTCTGGGCCTGATGCTTGTGTCCTCCCAGCCTGGCTGTGTCTCCATGAAGAGCTACCGCCCTGATGTGTGGCAGGCACCTGCTGCCCCTTTGCCTGATGGGAACACCAAGGAACATCAAGTGCTCTTGCTCTGCCCTCCGCTGACCCTTCTGCGTGTCTGCCGGGTCCCAGAGGCCTCACGGAAGGCCCACATCAGTACAGAATCGCCAGTCCCTTGCCCCTATACCTCAGGCCGTCTGCTTGGGGCCCTTGCTGCCTCCAGAGAGCCGACACCAGCAGCCACACAAGAGAACACCTCTTGGGTCACTGCAGGCAGGCCCCAGCACCAGGGCTGTCCCTGGGCATCCAGACCAGCCTCTGTCCCTGTTCGGGGAGAGCAAAAAAGAGGCTCGATTCTGTGACAGTTTTCTGATCAGTCTGTCATTTCTGTGGTTGGTATCATTGCCTATGTGCCCATAACACTTCCTCTCTCCCCTTCACCCGCGGGCACTATGATACCACGCATTTTACTACATCTGTGTTGACCTATCCCTCAATTCTAGAAACATGATCAGTTATGAATACATATATTAAGCCATGCTGTTGGTTACCTATACGTAGTTTTACTCTGTAGCGTAGTTTCTATTCCTTTCCATAGCTCTGGGCTTCTCGTGGAGGGTTGCAGTGTGATCAGCCGTGAGATCCACGTGCATACGTGTACGTGCGTGGACACGTGCCCCGTGATTGGAGCTGCTCCACTTGCTGGGTTGGATGTCGTGTGATGTGCAGGGCACCAGTGGCTCAGCTGGGACCGCTGCATGTAACCAGGAGCCTTGGCCGTACTAAAACCTAAGCCTTCGCCACTTACACAGTGATTTACGGAATAAAGGTGTTTAGGTTTCACTTTGTTGGGTAGACGGTTTTCGTGTTAATGCATTTATTATTAACATCCTGACTTTCGTGTGTGTTCTCTAACTGGAGTATGAAATTCTAGGCCAGCGGATAAGGAAGTTAACTGATGTGTATACCCATTTTGGGTTGCTATTTTCACAGCTGGCTTGTACAATCCCAGTCCAGATTTTCCACCTGTGCATTGACCATCTGGCTCTCTAGCGGTTGGCAGTGGGCTGCGGAAATTCATTTTTCTATCCTTCAGGAACACCTAAATGTCTCCCCTCTGCCATCTCTGTGTGCTTGGAAGAGAAGAACCGTTCATGAAAAAAGCCTGGAGTGGCCTCTGGAGTGTCAGCAAGCCAGTGAATTATGGCAATCAGAGATGGTGGGGCACCATGTGCCCCAGGCGGTTACCTGAGTTTACCCAGGTGGTATCGAAATAATCCCATTAATCACAAGAATCGCATCCAATCACATCTCATTTCCCCACCTTCCGGAGGCTGAGGTGGGAGGATTCACCCCTCTGTGGATGAGGACCATGAATGCAAAGAAACACCGTGCTCAGGGTCCGGGCTTAGATCCGGGTCGGTCAGACCGCAACGCTGGTGCTTGCCCCCGGGGCCAGTGGCAGTTCATGGTTCAGAGGAGGGAGGACGGTGAGCCCCAGGAGTGAAGGCTAAGATCACCATGTGGCTCAGGAGCCTGAACTACCCCAGGTGTCTGTTGCCCTTGGCAGTTCCCCATCTGGAACACGACGGGGCTCGTTCCAGCTCTAAATTTCTGATGAGGAAAACACCAAGAAAGAAGAGCGAAGACTTGGAGCTCAAAAATAACAAAACAATAGAAAAAAGAAAAATGGGCCCCCTAGACAATGTAATCAAGAAGGAAAACATTCTGGTTGAGGTCGAGGAATGCAAATCTGGAAACGTGAATCCTAGATTCTTGTGATTGGATGCAAGTCTTGTGATTCATGGGATTATTTCGATACCACCTGGGTAAACGATCGCTGCTATCCCATAGTCTGGACATGAGTGAGGCTCTTCAAGCCAGAAAGTTGTCGATTTATCTTGTTTATTGTTTTCGCCTCACTCGCAATTCTTAAAGCAGACATTTCACACAGATGTCCCGGCCCTTAGGGCTGTGCTGTCGGCCCGGGGGTCGTGAGCCACGTGTGGCTCGTGGGCACCAGGAGTGTGGCCAGTCCAAACCAAGTCGTCCTGTGTGACCTGCACACTGCGTTCTGAAGACTCGGTACCAAAATGAACTTAAAACTTCTCATTCATCAGGGCGCCTGGGTGGCTCAGTTGGCTAAGCAACTGCCTTCAGCTTAGGTCATGATCCTGGAGTCCCGGGATCGAGTCCCGCATCGGGCTCCCTGCTCGGCGGGGAGTCTGCTTCTCCCTCTGACCCTCCCCCCTCTCATGTGCTCTCTGTCTCTCTCATTCTCTCTGTCTCAAATAAATAAATAAAATCTTAAAAAAAAAAACAAAACTTCTCATTCATCATTTTTCCAGTGACTGTGTGAAGGAATGGTAACATTTTAGATATGTTGGATTACACAGAACGCATTACTAAAGTTGCACCTGCTAGAGAATGTAAAATTGCATGTGTGGCTCAATTTTTCTAGTGGATGGTCCTGCCCAAGAACTTTTTGATTTATTTGTTTTTCTCATTCACATACAGGGTTCAGTCCCACTCAGAGAAAAATGCCACCGAAATCACTGAAGATCATAAGAACCTCAGTGATTTCATAAATGGGACTGGAGGTTTTGAGGTGGCTTGAAACGCTTTGAAAGACATAGTTGGTGGTTTCACTGTCTTGTAAAAACTGGAAGTTTAAGAGTGGAGGATTCGTTTGTTGAGATTTTTAAAGAGTGCCGTTAAATCTCGTTTCATATGCTGATAATAACAGGCCTTTTTTTTTTTTTTCCTCCCCCAGAAACCTTTAGAAAATCATCGCTTGCCAATGATGAGACAGATAAAGAGAAGAAAAAATTTCTGGGATTTTTCAAAGTTAATAAAAGAAGCAGTAGTAAGGTAATGGATTAAATACACGTTGGATTCTGCATTATGGAAAAATAGTTGCTTGGGATGCTTGTACTCACCCTATCTTGGAATCTTTCTAAATATTTTTAGGAGTGTTCATTCCTTCGGCTGAAAGGGAGCTTATCCATACGCACCAAAGTGGCTGGCATATTTCCACACTTGATTCCTAAAGCTGGGGGGTAGTGTATTTACCAGCACGGCACGAAGCCATGAGCGCGGCTCTGCCGGCGCATGTGCAGTACCCGGTATGAAGCTGCGGCTCAGGAAACACCCTCTGGATTGATGAATGAATGAGTGAGCGCATATTTATAGAGAACAATCCCTATTCCTACAAATGAAATGCATTTAGTACCTGTTTAACGTAGGAAGCCTCGCAGAGCTGCTCTTGGGCCTCTTTGTGGAGCTGGGTGTCCGTTGTTGAACGGGTCCTTTGCTAGTAAATTTTAGATGGCCTTTGGTCTTCCCAGTATGGTTTGGAATATACTGCGTGATAAGTTAATTATATTCATCTTGTTGCTCTTTACTGAATCTTGAAGTCATATTTTGGATGCCTTGTTGTAGAGTGAGGCCATAGTACACAGAATAAGACTGAAGATTTTTACAGTCACTTCTGAAATTCCCAAAACCATAAATGCCCTCTCACTACCAAGAAATGAAACTGCTCGTTGTCCCTATTATATTTGTCTAAATGGTGTATTTTGCTAGTATCTGGTAGGTTCTCCTTACTCATAAGTGGGACTGAAAAAGACAAAACCGTTCCAGCCAGTGCTAGGCTCTGATACCGTCAGGTCGGCTTGGAAGTGTCCACCTGTATACAGGTGAAAGCAGGGTGGGAGGGCAGCCTGGTGTTGGCTGGAAGGTCCCCCTGCACACCGGGCTGCGCATCTCATTTCCCCACCTTCCAGAGGCTGAGGTGGGAGGATTCACCCCTCTGCGGATGAGGACCGTGAATGCAAAGAAACACCGTGCTCAGGGTCCGGGCTTAGATCTGGGTCGGTCAGACCGCAACGCTGGTGCTTGCCCCCGGGGCCAGTGGCAGTTCGTGGTTCAGAGGAGGGAGGACGGTGAGCCCCAGGAGTGAAGGCTAAGATCACCATGTGGCTCAGGAGCCTGAACTACCCCAGGTGTCTGTTGCCCTTGGCAGTTCCCCACACACAGCGCAGCTCATTTCTCTTCCCATGTCCTGATGCTTTGATTTTGATTTTGTGAATCTCTTTTTTTGTTACTGGTTATTATGTTTCCACATGCCCTTTGAAAATCTGTGCTCTACGCGTTTCTCTTTAGATCCTTTGCACTTTCCTTCTCCCCATCTTGCATTCCCTCCCAGCTCCTCCTCTCTCCCCTCCCCCCTCCTCCTTTCTCTCCTCTCCCCTACCACTCCCATTCCCCTTTTTCTCCCTTCTTCCCCTCCCCATACCCCTCCCCTCCTTTCCCTTCTCTCTGGTCAGGTTTACTTGAAATTACAGATTCTGACTTTTGCATCTGAATTTCCCTTTGCTCTATCACCGTTGAGTTTCTTGGTTCCTGAAATTTGGGAGGTTAAGTTTGCCAGGACTGCACTCCCTGCAATCCTCCTTCATCCTGAAGGCACCAATTCAGAGTAAAACCTACCATTTCCTCACACTGAGATCTCAAGAGTCCTCTTGTGTCTTCTTCTTTGAGAGATGAAACTGCAGGCAAAGCCAGTAAAAAAAAAAAAAAATCGAGAAATGCTTTTGTTTTAAGTAAAATAAGATTGCCTAAGGTGTGGGAGATTAGAGACTGCCCAGTTTCTGAGGGTTCGTCAGGGACACCACCCCAGGAGGACCCTGGAAAAATGCCACAGGCTTCAGGGACTCCTGTCTTGCCATCTTGGCTCCCTCTTGGCCGGCTGGGATTATTTTTCCTTTCTAATGTACCTCCTCTCTTCCTCTCACTTACTTTATGTTACTCTAGACTTCTTTTATGTTGTCGTATCCTTACTGGATTATTTGTTGTTTTTGGCATCAACTTCTTCATTCCTTGTTTTCTTCGCTTCACGGTTTGAGACACTGTGCTAAATGCAACTTCATTTCATCTTCCAGAAGCCTGGTGAGAGGTACTACCCACCTTATTTCACAGGTGCAGGAAAGAAGGCTGCGTCCCCCTGAGCTGACCCTCGGGCCAGTGGCTGTCCAAGTTCAAACCAGCCTGTCTTTCCGGAGCCCTGGCTCTTCCTCGCCCATTCATGCTGTAATGCTTGACACATCCAGGACTCCACTTTCCTGCACTAATACTAAGAGGGTTTGGAGGAAATCATTATTTACATGGTTTCTAAAATCATATGCCAGATAGTCCACAAATGTCTCAAGAGGACAGAACGCTAAGGATGGAGAAATATCAAGGCGATTAAAGCTAAAGGAGGTTTTTACAATATCTCCTTAAAGCCAAAAATGTATATGTGTGTGTGTGTGTGTGTATAAGATCTCAACAGAGGATATATTTCAGGGATATCATTTTGGATGAAGTAGATGAGGGCGTGCATCTTTCCTTGTTCTAAAACTTTGTTATTTTACTGTTTTTAAAACATGATAATTTTGTACAATTTTGACATTATTTATTCCCCTAACCCAGAGGTTCTGAAAAAGTACCTAAGAATCACCCTAAGACCTAGGCTAATAATGGGATCCTGGGGTCATCTGCCCAAAGATTCTCATGTTGGGGGGTCAGGTTGGCAGCCCGGTTGTGCCCAGTGATTCTATCTGTAGCTGGCGGCCAGCACGCCGTCATGCAAAATGTCCTCTTGAAGAATGAAGTAAGATGTCATTACTGTTATCTTTTATGGACAGACAGTGAGATGTTTGGTGATTTATTTCTGTATATACTCAATGAGCAACACAGTGGTAAACCAACCAAATTTAAAACTCAGAAATCCCCCCAAAACTAGTCAATGAATTGGCTTTCTGAGCAAATTCCATCAGCTCAGACTCATGAAACTACTGTTTTCCTATTATATATCTTCTAAGCTGAAGATATGCTTTTGGGAAAAAGCAAAAAGAAAACCCCTCCCTTGAGTTACAGATTTCAAAACTGGTTTTCAGATCAGTGAGCACTTTGGTTCGGGGCTTTGGGGTTCCTGCGCTGAGGGGCGTAGCCGTGGATTACAACCACCCAGTGCAGAGCCTGCCTTGAAGACCATGCTGGTTTTGTGCTGTAATAATCGTGGAGGATGACTTTTTGGTCTTACTTTGACCTGGAGATAACGTGCGGTGTGTCTGTGTTCCAGGCCGAGCAGATTGGGCGGTCCGGGTTGGACAGCGATGAGGACACCTCACAGTCTGCTTTGGAAAAGGGCTCGAATGTGAGTACCAATCCCACAGGTGCTTCTTGCTAACCAGGCGGGCTTCTCACTGCTTCATAGGACCTTCTAGAAAATAGGACTGTAGATTAGTTTAGTCGTTTGGTTTTTGTATGTTCAGTCTAACAGATGCACGAAGCTGTGTATGGCTTCCCGTTTACCTGCCCATGCTACAATTAGAAGCTGTGGGGTCTTTTAGTTCCTACTTCTCTGTACTGTCAACATGATCAGGAGGATTCAAGAATTAGATTAACTGAATATACACCCTCTGGAATCGCTTCCATACATTCAGGAGCAGCTTGGGGGCCACATGGCCTTCTTTCCCATCCTGAAATCTACCAGTTCCTAAACTGTGAGACTACACTTCAAAAGGATTTTATTTTATTTTTATTTTTTTAAGAGAGAGAGAGAGAGAGGGTCTGTGAGCAGTAGGGGAGGGCCAGAGGGAGAGGGAGAGAGAATCTTAAGCAATCTCCACACCCAGTGCAGAGCCCAGCGTGGGGCTCGATCTCATGACCCTGAGATCATGACATGAGCCAAAATCAAGAGTCTGATGCTTAACCGACTGAGCCACCCAGGTGCCCCTTTAGTTGTATAATCTTAAGCAAGTCTTTACCTGCCATGACCACATCAACAATGTCATTTGCTTTGCTATAAAACAGACTTAAATCAACTAAGAATAGTTTGAAATGTCCATTGACGCATTAATCTGCAATCATAGTCTCGATTTTGGCCACAACTTATTGGAAAATGTCTTCTAATACTTCATGTACTCTGTAAGCTACGTTTGTGTTCTAGTGGGAAATCTATTTACTTACACTAGAGGGCTTGGCTGCTCACACTCTTTCTTACTGCAAATGTGCTAGGTATTTTAAATTTTTCTACAGCAAAGAATGGAAGCATAAATTTTGTAGTGGGCGTTGCTCATTTGTGTGATTTTTTTTCTCAGTGCAACATAAGGAAATATATTCATGACATAGATAAATAGATAGAGCCTAGGCAAAAACTCCATAGGAAATATCCAAAGCATTTATAAGGAAAATAATAGAATACCACAAAGACACACAAAAATAGAATTGTACACATGGAGGACACACCATGTTCTTAGATGTGAAGATTCAACATTATTATGTTGATTGGGTTTTGTGGTGGAGCTAAATAAATTAGTTATAAAGTTTACTTGGAAAAACAAGCAAGCAATAACTAGCCAGGAAAACTCTGAAAGACAAGGGTAATGGATAAGCCTGGGTAGTTTTGAAATAACTTCTAACACCTCTGTAATTCAGACTGTGTTATACTGACCACAAAGAGCTCAATGGAACCAAATAGAAACCCCAGAGGCAACTGAAGACAGAAATTGAAATACAATATAGGCAACACATCAAATCGGTGGAGGGAAATAAACGCATTGATCATTGAAGAGCCCAACAGCAAGAGATAAAATCGTATGCATTTTCACTGTAAACACTAGGATAAAAAATATATAGAAATGTAAATGTAAAATTGAAACCATGTAAGAATTAGCACAAAACAGGAGTGAATTCATCTGTAAATTGAGAGGAGGGAATATTTTCTGAAAACCCTGGTGAATTTGACTTCAGGGGAAAAAAATTTTTTTTGAATGACAAATGAGAGAGGGAGAGAGAATATTATCAGCAAAGTAAAAATCCAAATGACAGATGTGGGGGGGTTGTTGAAATAGAAAAGCAATGACAACCTTATGTACGTGAGATCACAGGGTGTTTGTCTTTCTCTGTCTGACTTACTGCATTTAGTGTGATTCCCTCTAGCTCCATCCACATCATTGCAAATGGCAGGATTTCATTCTTTTTGATGGCTGAGTAATATTCCATTGTGTATATATAGCACATGTTTTCTGTCTGTTCAATTCTATATGGAATCTAAAAAACAAAGCAAACAAAAGACCAACAGAAACAGACTCAGATACAGGGAGCAAACTGGTGGTTGTCAGAGGGGACGGGGTGGGGGGATGGGGGAAGGGGTGAAGGGGGATTGAGACGTACAAGCTTCCAGTCATAGGGAGGAAGAGTGCAGCATAGGAAATGCAGCCGATGATATTGTAATAACACTCTATATAATGTGACACAGTACTCATCGTGGTGACCGTTGAATACAGATTTGTCTACTCTGCTTCAATTAAAAAAAAAAAAAGAATGATGACGTCTGACCAAGATAGATAGAAATTTCACACACACACAAAAAAGGAAGTGGTGCATAAATAAATGGAAAAGTGCTCAAACTCGCTCATAATGAGAACTAGAAATTAAGCCTCCAGTGAACTACCACTTGTCACTCATTCCGTGGTCTGTCCGTTTGTGCAATGCAAAGCTGAAGAGCGTTAAATGGAGAGTTTTCCAGGATATTTATTTATTTTTTTTTTAAATGAAGGGTGACTTTTCCTGAAAACCAGAGTTAATAAGTGAAGCTGCAATGTGGCAGATTCATTCTTGGCCTCCAAAGCAGACTTTACTGGGCTTGAAGCCAAAGGGCAGGACAGCACTTAATAAAATAATGGCGGCAGATAGTGATGGTGACCACCGCGTGCCGGCCCATGACGGGCCATGCTGAGTTCTGTGATCTTTCATCCTCCTTATGAAGACGCAGAAACCGCCAGCTTCCAGAGGCTGAGTGGTTGACCAAATCTGGACAGGTGCTTATGTTTGCTTAAGTATTTTATGTTCATGCTCAATTTCTTTTTTAAAAAAATTTTATTTATTTATTTGAGAGAGAGAGAAAGCACGCACATGATTGGGGGGTAGAGGCAGAGGGAGAAGCAGACTCCACGCCGAGCAGGGAGCCCGATGTGGGGCTGGATCCCAGGACCCTGGGATCACGAGCTGAGCCAAAGGCTCACGACTGAGCCACCCAGGCGCCCCTCATATTCGTATTTCTTTATGTCCATTATGTCTTATGTTTGATATTACGCTCGCGTCTATCAAGCATGGTGTGTTGGTGATGGAACTTCCCTTATGAGCACTCCGCTCTTGTTTTTATAAATTTCCCCCCAAGCCAGTGACTTGTAGCTGAGTGCCCTGCCCTTAGGGTGTGAGAGCGAGGCTTTCAATCTCACACAGCAAAGGGCACCTCTCTGTCTCCACTTTCCCCGTCTGTGTAGTGGGTACAGCACCACCCACCCTGCACGGTCAGCAATCAGAGAGCTCACCTAACACTCTGGGAAGCATTCTGAAATGGGAGTAAACTCGTTCAGAGTTTATTAAAAAGTTTGCAGAAACTATTGCTTATTTTCCCTTGAGAAAATATGAGTGGTTCATCATAAGAGTCTGAAGAGAATAGATGTGCATTAAAAGAAAATATCCTTTTTTAAAAAAAGATTTCTTTCTTTGAGAAAGAGAGAGAGTGTGTGTGTGAGCAGGAGGAGGGGCAGAGGGAGAGGGAGAGAGAGTCTCAAGCAGACTCCCCACTCAGTGCAGAGCCCAAACCAGGGTTTGATCCCACGACCCTGAGATCATGACCTGAGCGGAAATCAAGAACCTGCCACTCAACCAACTGAGCCACCAGGTGCCCCTAAAAGAAAGTATCCTAATGGGGATAGCCATAAGTCATTAGATCTTCCCTGAAAAGGTAGTTAATTTCATGTAAACCAAAGTTTACTCTGTTCCAAGAATCATCTTCATTTTCTGAATCATAGGGCCCTTGAATCAGTAAATATCATCACCTCCCTAATAATGTCAAGCTGTTTTCATGGAATTTTGCATTTTTCTGGGAAACTCTCCCTTCTGTATCCATGCATAGCACACAATTCCCTCATCTCTCACCTTTGGACGCTGAGATGCAGGGAGGGGACATGGTCGGTCACCACTGGATGTGATTAATGGTGAGGGGACATTGCTCTTAGGCCTCTGTCCCCATCCTCTGCCCTGTCCCTAAATCACATGAACAGCAGTGATAAATCATGCACATTGATGGAATGAGGTACCTGAGTTAATTTGTAATTGCGTGCACAAAAATGCCACACACCCAGAAATACCACATTGGTCCCATAAAGTGAAAAATGCTCTGATGGAGGAGGAAAGTGACCCAAGTTCTCATCCTGGTCCTGTTACTAACTGTGGGCCATTGGACAAGTCGGCAAATGAACCATAGTAACTGACCTTTTATGGGCCCCTTGTCTTTGTTAAAAAAACAAAAGCCAGATTCTACAAATTTGACCAATCTAAAATTTATCAACGTGAGTTATATCAGATACCATTGCACTATCCGTTACCATAAAGTTAAAAAGTCCTTTGGTGACTGATTTTCAAAAATCACTGTCTCAATTAAGAAACCAAAACCAAACAAACAGAAAAACAAAAAACCTTAAAATTATCTGGGGCCCTTTGACCCTTTGCCCTGTTAAGGCAGTTATGGAAATCCTCTACCAGCATAGTGCTTGCTTCTCATGGGTGGAAGTGATTTCCATGTCCAAAGCCCTAATCCGTGTTTGGGAACCAGGTGGGCGCGTCCCCCACAGAGTAGTCTGGCCCTGATGGGGACGCCTGCCGCATCAGAGGCCTGCAGTGAGGAGCCCAGAAGTTTATAGGGACGCCCACCAGTAAAACAGCACTTTTAGGAAAAGTTATTCAAAACTGAGTTGTAAAGGAAACTCCACAGTTTAAGCTGCCCCGAGTCCCATGTTTATCAGAGATGCTGTACTTGCATCCAAAGCAGAGTACCCGAGCCGTGAAGAATCCTGTCTCCAGTGGATCCCGAAGAACTTGGAGCTTCTCCCGGGAGCGTGTGTTGACTCACTGCTGCCACAAGGGGTCAGTGTTTCCACAAGCAGAGCCAGGCCTCGGAAAAGCTCAGATCTCGTTTTGGGAAAGTCCACGTATTGAGAGCAGAAAAATACGTCCGGAGGGCTGAGCCACATGTTTGTGATGTAGAACTCATTTTGGTTATAAATCAGTTTCAAAGAGCTGTTTTGATGGCTTTGTGCCTTTCTAAAGCGTTTTGTATCCAAAATTAAGAGAAAGACGGCATAT